ATGTACAACGTTTCGACAAGGTTTTGTCATCATCAGGTACCACCATCAGTTTAAACTTATATTAAAGTTTTTCTTCATTACCCATTCAAGCTGTCTCCAGCCATTATTAGTCTCAAAGTGGGTTCCTCGTCACCAAATTCGAATATGTATAAACACTATTAATTCCCTTAACAATCACCTTAATCAGATTGTCTCTAATTTTCAAGAAAAAACAAGTTAGAGATCTTAACCAATCCTTGTATGACAACCTTTACATCCTAGTAGTCCTCCTTTGAACCCTTTCCAACAATTCAATGTCCTTTCTGTGGCCTAACAAGTGACCTATACATTGACATTATAACCTCTCTAGACTTGAATTCAATATTTCTGTAGATACAACCTAATATCCTATTTGCCCTACCACTAGCAACATCACATTGCTTGAACGGCTTTAGAGACTGATCGACTATTACACCAAGATCCCTTTCCTTCATAACAAATTATAGTTATAATTCAAATTATGATATCCCCCATGCATTACCTTGAACTTATTATAATTAAAACAGAAGTTTTCCTAATGTTTTTATTATCTGATATTTTCTGCCTCAGGTATCTTCAGTGATTAAGAAAGAGGATTTATCAACAACGATAAAAGAAAATTCGGAACTGGACAGTTCTGTGCCAGTCTACTTTCGGAACTAATAAGTGGAAGTATACAATAAAAAAATGTCTTACGTGGAAGAGAGAAATATGTCGGCAAGGTAGAAGAAACGAGCTTTGTACTTCACATGGAAGACCTCCGGTTCTAACAAAGCATACAGTTTCCCATAGAAGTCTGGGTATTCTCTATAAATAAATAAATAAATAAAATAAATAAAAAGGAAAAATGTGTATTAAGCTACTGAAAATTTTTATTTAAATTTTTTTCCAAGTAAAGTCTTTATTCAAAGTGCTACATCTTGTTTTTTTTATGATTGTTACAGATGGTGTTTAATTATTTCTCACAGCTAAGCTATATGAGTTCTAACTTGTTATATAGTTAAGAAACTTGAAAGGTTCCTACATGTCCTAACCAACACCACAATAATCTCTCTCAACAAGTTCAACACAGTGGTGAGATATCCTCCATTTCTGGGCAGTTAAAATTTGTAAAGTGCTACATCGTTTTTTTCTCCTTCTGAAATTTCTAATAAATATTTACCAGAAACAACATGGTGTGTGTCTTGCTTTTTGCATATTTAAACATTTTTTTGTTAAATAAAGATTGCAACCTGCCTAGGACGAATAACAGAATTTAAATACTTTTTCTTTATTGAGAGAGAGAGAGAAACAAAAAAGAATTTTACAAAAGGCAACTAAATAAATAAAATGCAGGAATTTACTTACAAGTTGTACTTCTGAATGAGCACAAATAAGCTGTTGAGTGCCAATAAACTTATAGCACCACCTAAAAATGAAATACATTCATTAATGTCTATTCATAACTAATCCCTGTGAGTTGTCTTAATTACCTAAAGACGTTTAAAACGACTAATTACAGTTGGACAATTAGTGGTAAATGATTAATCAATGACCCTAATAATTGAATAAATTCAATTAATCAATCTGCACAGTGTTTCTCAAACCAGGAAACGTACAAGTAAGCAAGAAAGTAAACGAAATCAGTTACTTCATTATCATCCTGGAGAATCAATAAAATTAGAATTGAATTAATCAATACTAGAATAATCAAAACCAGTAATAATAATCAGAAACACTAATTTTGATTAGTTGATTATTTTTTTGACAATTGATGTAATTAAATTCGAAGAGTCAAACATCCAAGAGTACATTGAAATGACGTTTTCTCACGAGTGATGGTATTCGTGGTCCTACTGAGTTCGTCATTATTTCGGGGGAAAAACTATGATTTATATTGCAACACCCTTTATAATATACAGATATTGTAAACTAAAATTCTGTACTGCATTCATTGCAAGAGTCAAAATGACTGATAATCACATATCACATCAGGATAAAACACTATTAAACAAGATTTCACAATCTTTCACTCAGAAGTCCTTCTCACCAAGTTCATCAATTTTACTATACAATCTGGATACTACATATCAGTTAACATATATCTTCTGGTATAGTGCATATGCACTCTTTAAAAAATGTATACAGAGGCATATTTAACATTGTTCACACTTTTCATGCATAAGTTTCTATTAATTTAATGAATTCAACATGTATTTTAGTTATTTATAGCAGTAAACAGAGTTAATATGTAACATTAAATGCTAACAATAACACTGGCCAAATGTAATAGGCATGGTACACAAAAGTTTACATGCAAAAATTCTGTTTTGGCACTTACTACTTTGCTAAGCAGGCCCAACCTCATCAGGTGTTTTTGGGATATGACCCAAAACACTGCTAGCAGCAAGGATACCAACTAATGACCTATGGCCGAGTCTGTCTGTCACTCATAATGAAAACTAATTATCATTAATTCTTATTTTTATTGATAATTTTTATAACACTTCAGGTAGAAGTTATTAATAATTGTAAAGGGGTGATACCTGGAACTAAGATGACTCTCAACTTCATCACTTACCTACGTTATACGAATCTATAAGGAAATCAGTTAATAAAAGGGGATTCTGTAAATGTGCAAGCACATGTTCATGAAGCATCAACAGAACCTTCTTGTACAGTCCCACAGGCAACTGAAAATATGCACAGAGAAATAACGTTTAGAAGACAGATTAATGACACTCAAAAAAGTTTTGTAATGAAAGCATGTCCTTTCCAGATAAAAACTATTTAATTCAGAGTAAATACAGAAGAATCTTGAATTTATTATTATACTAATGTTGAAAAAATACAGTTATACATAAACATTTTAATTCTAATAAATAAAACATAAGCTTTAATAAAAACTAATTTTCATCAACCTTAAGAATAACTAAGAATTTAAAAATATCAAATATTTGTTTCTGTGAAAATAAAGAAAAACCAAATTCCATAAAATATCACTTTACATAAAAACACAGAAAAAAACAATCACCTTGCACTTAAGAAACTCCAACCATAAAAATGAAAACTTCTTGCTTGTTGTGATATAGTGTAAGACAAATGATGGTCTATCTGAAAAACACAGATCCAAAAAAATGTTGAAATGGTTCGGTTAAATCCTTCTCAAACAAACGTTTTTAAATTTACAGTGTGCTTTGTGCTTGGGGGAGGGGGGTTGGTTTGAACCCGACAATGTTCACGACCTTTCAATAGGAAGTAGAAGAAACATTTGAAAATAAGAAATAAATATTACCATTAATTCCAAAGAATATAATCATTATTCTTCATAATTTGAAGGATGAAAGTATACAGGACTTTGAATGATCAATAACTAGGGGAAACTATTTTTATTCTTATGCCTCGGCTTTTAAACAGCGTTAGCTTCTTGATAAGGACTTAATATACATAATTTTAAAGTTCAGATCTTTTTATAATTTTTATTTTGCACAAAAAAAATGATGATGAAAAAACTTTTTCGAGCCACTTTTAGTTGACTAACTCATCACATTTTGCTGGAGTATAACCTTATTTAATGTTTAATTTCCACTGCTTAACTGGACTTTGTGGACCACTTCATTATTTGATCGGCTATTAATTACCATAAAACTTTTTGGAGGTTTTCTGAAATCATCACAGCTGAAGTCTACAGCAATCCAATTATGGCCTGAACCAATAATTGATCATTTCTAAGCTAATACAGAAACATGTATGTCAATTAAACATTGATGTAGTAATTTTTCATCTTTTGGCTTTTTCCAGACACCCTAACAGTTTTATTTTCATCAAAGTTAGTATTCTTTAAGGCACTAACAGCTCTTTATAACATAGACATGTTACAAAACTGATTTCTGATTGTTTAGAAGTTATAATTCTTTTGAGAAAAATGTTTTTTGTATTGTTGATGTCTAAAATAAGTGAAAATACAACAGGTATGACGATATAAGTAATGACGAGTTAAAAAAAAAATTGAAAATGTGCACCCTGTTTATCAATGCTATAATTTTTTTTCAAGATATGATTATGAATAATTGCAAAGATTTAATTTTAACGACAAAATGTGAACGTGTTTTTAACTGTATGTGTGTATAAACACACCATATTACTATAAATAAAGATAAAAACTTTGAAATTGCTGAATTAAAACCTGACTAAGCTAATCATTCACAGAATATAATCCCTGTCCCACCATACATGCTCGCCCTTTCGGCCGTGGGTGTGTTATAATGTGACTGTCAATCCAACTATTCATTGGTAAAAGACTAGCCCAAGAGTTGGCAGTGGGTGGTAATGACTAGCTGCCGTCCCTCTAGTCTTACAATGCTAAAAAGTTTAAAAGTTAATTGTGTAACACTATAAACTAATATTCAGTATTTTTGACAGGAAACAAAAGACTTCCACTACAGTAATATAGTATTTTGGATTAATCAGTCTCAACCACATGGTCCCAAGTAACCTAAATATGTCAAACAAAATTAAAACCTTAATATATTCTGTGTTGTTTGTTTTTGAATTACACGCAAAGCTACACAAGGGCTATCTGCGCTAGCCGTCCCTAATTTAGCAGTGTAAGACTAGAGGGAAGGCAGCTAGTCATCACCACCCACCGCCAACTCTTGGGCTACTCTTTTACCAACGAATAGTGGGATTGGCCGTCACATTATAACGCACCCACGGCCGAAACGGCGAGCATGTTTGGTGGGACGGGGATGCGAACCCGCGACCCGCAGATAGCGAGTCGAGCGTCCTAACCACCTGGTCATGCCGGGTCAGACTATCATGTAACAGTAGAATACATACACATACACATATATATATATACGAGTTTAAGAATTTTTACAGTTTTCTGTAAATGTTCCTTTAAGTTTCCTCTCATTTTGAAGTGTATAATAAATTATATTTGTTTGAAGGATACAGAAACTGTCTTCAACAAGAAGACATTGGATAACCCGAGATAAGTAGGTTAGCTTACATAGTTTAAAAGTTGAATGGGAAACAAAGAAAACTTTATTACAAGTTTAACACAGTAACAATTGTATAATGCTTGAAGAAGGTTTTGTCATCATCAGGTACAAGTAATTTATCTACACAAAGGAAGATATATCTACAGTATGAAAACAATGAAGTCACACGACTGGAGATTGCTTAAGGCTTAGCGAAGGTATCTTGCTGATGTTAAGTTCTTTGTTTACAAATAATATTTTTTTATCTTTTTAATAGTTACACTAATATTTGTAAACATGAGTTTTTTTTTATATTATTTTCACTAAATAAAATAAAACTGTTATCAAACCAGATGAATTTACTGTTTGTTGAATATTGTAGGTGACTTCAACATACTGTGTAAGTCAAAACTTTACTGAATATGTTTATTCAAACAATGTACATAAATAATATGGCTAACTAGCTACACAATTATTTCTTATTGCAATTGTTATCTTATAAATTATAAACTTTATTACCCTTGTTAGTGATAGTAAACATGTTTTCAATATTTAATTATCAATTTATTTGATTAAAATAAGATCATGGGGGATTAGTGGATATCTTAAAAACATACAATATGGCAACCGTTAACAAAACTTCCTGGGTTCGAGACTCAGCCTTGGACTTTCATTGATTGGATTCGTCACTTACAGCAATGCCTGTTAGAAAGTTAACTTCAAGTGATTCATGATATGAATTGAATTTATGTTTTCGACAAACAAGCATTTTCGTTTTATATGAAATAGATCATAAATAAGTTATACATTAGCAACCAAACCTCCTGCCTCTGAGGATAATAACTTATGAAAAGTAATCATGATGCTATTAAAATTACTTTCTCTGAAAAGTATGGATTTTGGCTTCTAAACTTAATTCAAACAATTTGCCAAATAAACCGACTACACTTACTTTCTGACTGAATCAAGTTATTTTCTAGTTTCGTTTCGGCTTCAAATTTTTTAGATGGCTTTTTTGGAAGAACAATTTGAGACATCAATGCAAAAAGGTTATGTAGAAAACAATCATTCAGGTCCTGTAAATATAAAAAAAAGAGAAGATACCTTCTGTACTACTCAATAAGCTCAATGTATTATCTGATCTCTGGTTAAAAAACAGTAACCAACTTACAACTTCCAGATAATAAGCCGATTAAAGAAAGAAAAAGAGTCAGTTTGATTGTTGTTATGTGCAAAGCTACACAATGCTGTGCCCATTGCTGGGATCAATCCCTAGATTTGAGCATTATACATGCTCAAGCTTACCATTGAGTCACCAGGAGACATCAAGGAAAGTATCTTAATCTTGAGCGCAAACAAAAACTACCGTAACCCAACAAGCTTATGCGAGACTACTTTTCTTAAACTGTAGGAATATTTACATTAAATTCCACTTCAAATATACTCTCTCATCAGTCAGGAAACATTGTGTCAAAATGTATTAGTAAAAATTTCTATTAAAATGTTAATCTCTTTGTAAGTCAACAAATATTAAATGTTATATACAAACCTTTTTTTTACGTAATTTCATTAGCTTGGTTAGGATCTTCAATGTATAAAACTTCACATCATTGTATTCTAGAAACTCCTGGAACCGTCCAATTAAAGGTCGAAGGTCTTTTTCTTCAGACAGTAACTGTCTTAATACGTCCTGGAATGAAAAGCAGCACTTGAAGAAAGTACTTCAAAACATCACTAATAAAGGAAGCCCAGGGTTTAACAACAGTTATTATTAGAAGTTGGTTACAGAGATTGTAAACTGTGTACCAACAACTCATTTAAAATAATGACTTTAAAGTGTACTAAAGAACAGTTTTTCCAGATAACTATTTCAAAGGTAGGGTTACATCACTTTGCAAATTTCAGAGAGAAAAAAAAAAAGAGCTAAATACAAGTAGTACACAAACAAATTGGTCACTAGTCATGATTTGCATCTCTCAATACAAGCTACTGTGGGCCAAAACCACTTTGTAAGCAAGCTAAACAGAGGGATGTTCTATAGGGAGTGAAGCTGTAGTCCCAAAACATTTTGCCAATTCTTTCCAGAAAATTTGTCAAAACTGATATATAGCTGCATATTTACGTATAGAATTTTTTGAATCATATAAAAAAATATTTTATTTTTTGATTCTTTATTTTTTTTGAGCTGGCAAACACATAAGGCACATTTTTCATAAATTGTAGATTAAAAATACTTTTATGCATCAGAAAATTGTCAAATTTCACATGCAAAATCCTCCCAATAATTATAAATTTTTTTCTTGAAAAATGTTTTTATTTCATCTCTTATTTTCACTGTCGCATCTCTGTATGGGTTTGGTCAATTTGACCCACCTTGTAACCACCATAAAATATTAAGAGATAGATATAAGTTACACATTTTTCATTCTAGAATGACTACAGATTATAACATGAAGCCACAAATGTTTAGTCTAAATAGCTTAAATCTCATAACATTAACATCTATGTATATTTATTATTTTTATTTCATTGACCTTTCAGCCGTGTCTGATTAACATTACAGAAGATGCAATGACACAGTGCACATGCACTCATGTTACTGTATCCAATAGTAAAAACTGGCATTTACATGATGACCTGTCTTGGCTTTATTCTATTAGACTAGTATTTTGTAAACTACAGTCACATTTTAGTTATAATACATTACATATGTATATATATGTATTATTACTATTTACAAATAAGTTCTTAAATTTCAGTTATTTTTCTCAAAACATAGAACAGTAAATAAAGAAATATAGAAAACAATGATCTCTAGTACATCTGTATCTAAGAATTTAGATATGGCTTGCTATACCTAGCATGGTGTATCTTGCACGCTAAGCCTTGCTGAATTTCGATGTGAAGGTTGTAAAGTAAAATAACTATATTAAGGTTTAAAACAGGCATTTTGAAATAACAAAAATTATAAGTTACTCTACCAATATCACAGAATTCCACTGTAATTTATCAGGCTTACTAACTAAACTGTGTTTGATTCCCCAAATATAATGATATCTTAACAAATAGAAAAGATAGGAGGTTTTTATTTTATATTCTAACTTTTCAATATTGGTAATTTGAGTTTCTAATTTGTACGATACTACAGACTGTAGTTGGACATCACAAACATACCATGTAATATACAAAAATCAATATTTAAAAATACAATTTCATACCAAACTTACTGACACACATTCATAAAATAGTAGTTCAATAAAATTTCGAATGTAAGTCACAAACATGATGACATGCCCTTTGACCCCTGACCACAGGAAAACCTGTAGTGATAGGGTTAAATACAAACCTGTCGATATATGCTGCATATAATCCATAAAAAAAGATTGGATTTGTTTTATGCAGCAAGTTTCATACACATGCGTATCATAATGAGAATTTGTACAGACTTATCATATTAGGTCCTCATAAAATTTTATTTTGCTATCATCTGTCTTAAATATTTCCTTTCATATACTCTTTGTTAATTTTCCAGTTTTTTCCAAACTTTCATATTGTAGAGGTATCCAACTATATTAAAAAACAACAATAATAATCTTATTCTATATCTAGAATACTCAAGAGAAATATCTATATTATTTCCTTAATTTTTAAAGTATAATTTTATTTTTTGTAGTCTCGTAGGAAATGATTTCTAATATTTTCTTTAGAATCCACTGCACATTTCAATTTTTATCTAAAACATGTCATTATCGGAAAGATTATGGATCCTTTTTGGTAACGTCCCTTCAGGAACTTTTAGAGATTTTTTTTTTTCCTTAACACATTCCACGGATGTGAAAAGTTTTACTGTACCTGTAAGAGTTCTGTGGGGAAGTAAGCTATATTTTCATCCACAGGATGGAGAGGGTCTTTTCCAATTCCTGACACAAGTCTCATTAATGTACAAAGTGCAAGTTCCTACAACAACAAAAAAAATAGCCGTCATTAATCGCACAGGTACAAGAATTAAGTTATTCATAAAGAAGAGACACTATATTAATTACAAATGCCTGGTCAAAAACTCAATCTTCTATGCAAGTTCTGTGGGAGTTGTTTAACAGATCTTAGAAGTACAGCGTTGAGAGAATCAGATGTTATTTAAGGTGGAATTCTCCACTCACCTTAATGTTTCCAATTGCTCATCTCATCACTTGCTTTGATATCTACCAAACAGCTCCAACAGATTAGCAATGGGGAAGGTAGCTGTGAATACTGTATAGCGAAGAGCAAGAGGGAGGGTGCAAAGAAAAACAGTAGATTAAAGAAACATATGTTAGTGAAGTTATACGACACTTTCTCTGTGCTGTCTACTAACATTTCATATTGCTTAATCTCTCATCTAGCTATATTTTAAATAACACATTAATTATTCAGTTCTTCAAGAGAAGGAGGTACGAGTTATGCTTACTTGAACATTTTGGTTATCATGCTGAAGTAGTTCCAGTAACCGAGACTTTATTTCAACATACTGATCATGTAACCATGCCTTGTATTTATCTTCAATCGTTAACTCTGAAAGTAAAAAACCTAAGTTATAACGACACTTGTTTTTGTATATAATTCATGGTGAGCAAAAAAAAAAACTGTCTCAAATCACACTATACAAGTTATTACAAAACTCTTGTGTTCCTTTACGTGAAATTTCACATCGTCTTCCTTACAACATTACCAGCATTTATTCTGATTCACCATGTCCTCGTTTACTCTTTCTTTTGGAAGATTTAAAAGAAAGTTAGCAAGCAGTTTAATTCATAACGTTAAAAAAAAATCACTGGAATGGACTGCTAAAAAACTTGATCTCTTTCATAGGATCTAGAATTCTAAAGAAAATGTTCGACAGATTTCAGAGATGATCTTTTGAGTGCCTTTCTCCATCCATTTTTAAGTCTCCAATTACTTTTCCCAAACTTTGTTCTAGAATGACTTACATTAACTGAAGTTCTGGCACTAAAGTTATTCCTGTATATTACACAAGTTTTTTTTTTGTTCCTGATGTACGTTTCTTAAAGATATTCTGTTTAATGCAATAAGTTTAAATATGAAGATTAAAAAAATTTAAAGAAAACTTACTTAAATAAAAACCTAAATTTATTACCAGAGTGTAAAACAAAATAAAAACCTTAAAAACACAAAATGGGTACCACACTTTTGGTTTACCTTGTATACTACTAAGTTTCGAGTTAAGATTTATCTTAGTAGTTCTACTACAGATAAAACCTTTTTCTTCTTAGTCACCATTTTATTTACTCTTATGAATTAATCTGATAATTTGTTTTCTTGAACATCTTATGATATACAATGGAAAAATGCATAAGCACTGATTATGTTACAATTTACACTTCAACTACAATAACAAAAGTGAAAATAGTGTCAGTATTCTGAACATAAGCTCATTACAACAAAAGTTAGAACTCTTGGGAATCTTTTTTCTTGGACAAAAATAGCTACTAGTAATACAATAAACATATTTTAAAACACTAGTTTTAAAATGCCACAAATACTCAATTTTATTCCACATAAAATGAATGCGTACCTTCATCATAATGTGACGATGGTTGATAAAGATCTCCATTCTGAAGGAGATGATGGAAAACCCGGTTTATAGCTTGTATTCCAGCTAGAACTTCATAAACATCGCTAGACTTAATAGAAAAGTATAATACTGTAATGGGTAGCATCAAAATATTCATTTCTTATTCTATATACTGATCGATGATAAATTTCTTACCCAGTGGTAACCAAACTTACATTCATTATTCTGTATGTTAACTGATGATAACTTTCTTAACCCAGTGATAACCAAACTTACATTCTTTATTCTGTATGTTAACTGATGATAAATTTCTTACCCAGTAATAACCAAACTTACATTCTTTATTCTGTATGTTAACTGATGATAAATTTCTTACCCAGTAATAACCAAACTTACATTAATTATTCTGTATGTTAACTGATGATAAATTTCTTACCCAGTGATAACCAAACTTACATTATGTATTCTATATGTTAACTGATGATAAATTTCTAACCCAGTGATAACCAAACTTACATTCATTATTCTGTATGTTAACTGATGATAAATTTCTTACCCAGTGATAACCAAACTTACATTATGTATTCTATATGTTAAC